TATATATATATATATATATCCCAGGTATAGAACTATGAACAACCAGTTTTAGCTCAAACTAGATTAGTACTTGTACTACTTATTCGTAGTTCTTCTATCCGTACATACGTACTTCGATGTGGAGCTTGGAGCAGTCGCCCAACTCCCGCGTATCAAGCCCGAACCAGCCATCGTGAACCTATTCCCATGCAAGAATATCGTAAGAATTCCCATATTCGACGACCCAAATGTCCATTTTGATAGTGGAAATGAACCTCGCTATTGCCTGAACGATGTTGATTTCCGAGGACCATGGGTTCTGGCACGACCGTTCGGTTGAGCGGCAGGGATTCCCATACCACAAACGTGTGGTCTTGGGTCGACGCTATCGCATATTTGTACTCGATTGCCAGAGTTGGTAACTCGAGTCCTTCCACCGTCGCAGTCCATGTTGTGCTTGTAGGCGACGTCGATACCTTGAGCATGATCACTACGACGTAACAGTATACATATAAATAGCTTCCTTAGTGGCATTGAAAGGAAGGATGTCGACGGAGTGGGGAGGTTGGTTGGTGTTAATGAGGACGAGTCGTGTTCTTTGACGGACTTACCAGCATGCATTGGATTCCATGCGCCCAGTTCTAGGCTACATGGTCAGCTCCTGGAGCTACGAGTTGTTCTTCATACCTGGCACATTTCCCAGGATGCACACGTGGTGGTCGTTAGGGGTGAGTGAAGCGACAACGTCGATGAGGAAGCGCATGATCTCGAGCTCAAAGTTACAGACAGGGAGGGTCGAAATTTGACACGCAACCAGCATATCTCGAACGGGATTGGCCAATTAACAACCAATCAACGTCGAAGTAGAGGACCACTTCAACACCCACTCGATGCGTACTGTTTACGGCGACTTTTTCCAAATGTCAAGGTAGTTTCATAAATTCAACAATTTCGTTACTATTACAATGGTAGTGGCTGTGCTATTACCAGTACTACTTCAAAGTACTTGTAGTACGTTCCTATTTCGCAGGTACGGGCCACCACAGATGGGCCATAGTTGACGGCGAAATGCGTGCGAATTGTCAATGGGCATTAAATTTTTACTCAACGCTTATTGGTCGAATTGTTTGTTCGGTGTGCAGGGTACCCGAAGCCGCATTGGTAGATTCTAGCGTAGATGGCAGTGCATTCATGTGCATCAATACTACGTAGTATATAGTCCTTCGTCCCGTTGTAGGCGATTGGTGAATGGAACTCAACGAGGCGATGGAGACGTTTCTATTTTCGGGCTGCCGTCCCTATTGATGATATAAATACATCAACCACTTTCAATTGGCATTTTCGATCTTGTGTTCGTCTTGCATCCATGGCTTCCTCTACTACTTCGGCCATCACCCCCACTGGCATCTCCACCACGACAACGCCAAAGGCGACCTCGTTTGCAGCGACTGGCGCTTCGTCTCCTGTCGTGAAGCGCGTGTCGCCATCGTTTCTGAAACTCGTGCAAAACATCAGCTTGTTTGAACCAGAGCCGTTGACCCCACGCGAATTTCTCACCAAGTTCTACACCGAGCGCAACCTCCCCGAAAAGCTCACGGACGTCGACGCGTTGGTGGCGTATTACGGCACAAACGCGGCCAAAATGCTCGTGTTGTACACGGAACTAGACAAACGGTGTGTTGAAATCCCGACAGGGGAACACGATTTATACACCTGTATACGGTGGATAGGTATGGCACGACGTTTGCCGCGAATCCCCCATGCAAGTTCAAGGACGAATGGGTCCGACGTCCAGATGTAGTGCAAGCTGCTACAACTGCCACGGCGACATCATCCACTGCCAAGCCCCCTGTGAACAAGGGTATTCAATTTAGACCCTGTCGCTGTTTCCTTCGTTGGGTTTTTAGACTGATGACCCCTAGTAATCTTACTGGGCAATTCCGGGGTCGGCAAGACCAACTTGCTTAGTCGGTTGGCGAAAGGCGAGTTTAGCACGGATTTTGCATCGACGATCGGCGTCGAGTTCCTCACGCACGTGATGGAGGTCGACGGCGTGCCTGTGAAGGCGCAGATCTGGGACACGGCGGGTCAAGAGCGCTTTCATGCGATGATGAGCACCTACTACCGCAAGGCCGTGGGTGCGTTGCTTGTGTTTGACGTGACGGACAAAACCACGTTTGACGGTATTCAAAAGTGGCTCGACCAGCTCCTCCAAGTGAGTTGTTCTCACCCTCGACAAATACGGTACTAGTTGGTACTGTACTATTGACGATATCTAGGTGGCCGAGCCAGGACTTACGACAGTTCTCGTCGGCAACAAAGCCGACGTAGACCTCAACAAGCGCGCCGTCACCACGGCCGAAGCCCAAGCGTACGCGGCGTCGCACCATATGATGTACTTGGAAACATCAGCCAAGACCGGGTCGAACGTGGACAAGGCGTTTCGCGACCTCCTCACCACGGTCCACCGTTTGCAGTCGTACACGTCTACAGACCACGACACCCACTCGACGCTGGACTTGCACGCAAAGTTTGCACCGGCGGCACCTGACAGCTTTTGCGGCTGATCAACATCCGTTTCACCCTACTTTCTTAAAATAGATTTTGGCTTGTTGCTCATAATAATACTCCAGAGTACCGTTATCAGAATTTGCAGTGGTGCTCCTGATATTATTACGTACTTCAAGTACGTAATACAGTATTAATAACCTTAATTAGTGTATCTTGACGTGACTGCCATTAACAGTACCGGTAAGTACGAATTAAGATGTACAGTACTACGTAGTACGAAGTAACGTTACTATTAAAATACCAGTAGTAACGCTACTTCGAAGTAGTACTAGTATTCCAAAATTACAGTGTGAAATCCAAAAATTCGTACTTAAGGTCTGATTTCCGCCAGATGGCGGCATTGTCACCACTTCTTGCCAACACGACAGGAAAATACACTTACTATTAGAGCACCGCACTAAGCTTATTGTACAGTTACCAGAGAGTAGAGCTTGAGTAGTAGTACCATACCCAATGA